AAAAGGATTATTAATTTTTCTTTGTGTATATATTCTAACTTTTGAATATTTCAGTTCTTGTGTGCTCCCAATGTAACAAAAGTCAATTTCAGAACAGGGTCAAAAATTTCTAACTTTACCTTTCCTTAATAGGCATTCATATGAAGAATTACAGTATAACATATGTCAAAGTGCAACAGTTAATAAAAAGCCTGCTGAGAGCCCTGGCTAGTGTGGCTCAGTGGGCTGAGCACTGGCCTGCAAACCACAGGGTCGTTGGTTCAATTCCCAGTCAGGGCACATGCCTGGGATGCAGACTGGGTCCCCAGTATGAGGTGTGCGAGAGGCAACCAGACAATGACAAAATCTCTCCCCCTCTTTCTCCCTCCCTTCCCCTCTCTCTAAAAATAAATAAAATCTTTAAAAAAATAAAGAGGAGGCTGATACATTAGTTAACCATTTTATTATATTTCACATCATTGTACCAACAGTAAAAAATGGCAAATAACTGTAATTGCACTTATAGAGCACTAAGGAAGTGATACAATAATAAATGCAATTAAAGATTACAATGAAGTCAAAAATGGGCAGGGAATCAAATCCAACTCATTTCTTCAAGCTAAATTTCATCATTTCAGGAAATCAGACTACCTGATCTCAAATCATGGATCTGATCCTTACTAGCTCTGACACACAACAGTAAGTCACTTACCTGATCTGTCTGTATATCTACATACTCATCTGTAAAATGGGAATAATGACAGTACCTTAGGATGTGGGAGAAGATTAGATTAACAGAGGGAATGTGCCTAAAACAGTGCCTGGTACCTAAAAGGCTCTCAGCACCTGTTAATAGCTATGATAAACATGACTGTAATCATCTCAGGACTACATTCCCATAGTGGGCAGGAATGAGAAACCCAAATATTATTATCACTGATTTTTTTAAAAAAGTTTATTTATTTATTTTTACAGAGATAGGGGAAGAGAGGGAGAAAAACATCACCGTGTGGTTACCACCTCTTGTGCAGCTCCTGGGGACCTGGCCTACAACCCGGGCATGTGCCCTGACTGGGAATCAAACCAGTGACCCACTGCTTTGCAACCCAGTGCTCAATCCACTGAGCCAACCCAGTCAGGGCTATATCACCGAATTTTTAAAATTAAACCTTCACCCAAGGATATGTTGATTAAATTTTTTTTTTAGGGAGAGAGGAAGGGGAGAGATAAATGTCAATATAAGAAAAACATGGATCAGGCTCTTGTACCACCCTGACAAGGAACTGAATCTGCTACCTAGGTATGTGCCCAGATGGGGATCAACCCCTCAACCTTTTGGTGCATGGGACAACACTTTAACCAAATGAACATCCCAGCCAGCGGTATATCACTGAATTCTGTGTTTAATTATCTGGAGATTTTCAGAATATTTGTGTATGAACTTGGAAAATGCATATTTTAGAAGGGGAAAAATAATACTTCTACAAACGTACTAAACACTAAAAAGGTCATTTAGAATCTGCGGAAAAAGAACATGTGGTTGACCTGAATAATGCACTTCCTCAAAGTACAGAATATCACCTGTATGCAAAGTTAGGTCTAATGACTTCAGAGGAAATATGAACAGTGCCTTATACAAGTTTAGTAAAACAGTGATTTCTAGCAGGCTATGTAGTTGATATAACATTTTGGATTACTTATGTCTTCATTAAAAAATTTTGATTGTAGATTTTCTCATATTTAGCTGCTAGTTCCATATTACTACTCACTAAATTAAAGTCTATCCTCAGATACCAAATCTAAAAACACAAAATATATTAAAATATAATCTAACAATAAAAATGTAATATATTTATATATTACATATATTAGTATATGTTCAGAAAACAAAAATTTTTTGTATTATTTTTAAAATTCAATTTTATTTTTTATTTTAGAGAGGGGGAAGGGAAGGAGAAAGAATGGGAGAGAAACACTGATGTGAAAGAGAAACATTGACTGGCTGCCTTCCGTACACATCCTGACCAGGGACTGAACCTGCCACCCAGGCATGTGGACTGACTGGGAATTGAACTGGCAACTTTTCGGTTTGTGGAACCACACCCAATTGAGCCACACTGGCCAGGGCAAGGTATTGTATCTTATGTTTCTAACATATGACTTACACTTCTTTAGTAATTTTCATACTAGTATACAAAACCTAGGAATCTTTTTTACATTGGAATGACTTACATTCTACATCTAAAATGGAGTTAATTCATTACCATTCTAAACACATAACTGAGTCAAAAAAATATCAACAATAACAATAAAATCCCCACTATACTATTTTAGGCAGATGCCCCTAGAATAAAGACCTTATTTCAGCATTACTTATTTAGGAGCTGCTTTGAAAAGATTTTGCTAGGTATTATTCAAGTGTTTTCATGTTTTAAATAACATAAGGCTCTATAAATTGTACTTGTGACTAATTTTTCTAAGTCAAATACCTAAGCATAATAGTAGTGACTTTGACAATTAATAATTCTAACTTCCCAGTTTTTAAGAACAAACACCAGAGTGAAAAACAGAAATGAACTGTTACAATCTTAGGGTTTAGGCTTCATGGTTCTGTTAATTCTGCAATCTAAGCTTATTTTTTAGAAGAATAATTCAACTGTTCCCAGTACATACTCTATCCAGTGTATATGGCAACACTGTATCATGGGCCCAGAAGATGAAGAATTGTCCCTTGCAATATCATGGTTCTGTTAGACAAATCAAAGTCTGAATTCAGTTACACTGAAGTCGTTTGAGTTAATTTTTAAAGACTTTTCTATCATTTTGCCACTATAGTTCATTTTTTATTGGTCTTTATTTTCCATCTTGTCTGCTAATTCCCACTGGACAAGCAACTTAATTCAGTTTTGCTTTACTTTTGTAGCTCATAGCAATGAGTCCTGTAAAAGTTCAAATGTTTTTTATTATAGAAGGTATTTTTTCACCAATACAGAGCATTTGAGGTTTTCTTAAAATTAAATCTATTTAAATAAATATAACAGCAATTTCCTTACACACATTTTGTTCATATTTCCCCTCAGGGAAGTACAGGACAACATATACTTTTTATTTAACTTCAAATTAAGCAACTTTGTTAAGCAACAAGCAGAGGGATTGATAGCATTTCTTATATTTCAATCACTTTGAAAGCAAAATCACAGGAACAAAGCATAGGTTGCTGCAAGAGGTGGATAAATCCTTCAAGAGCAGGATGTGCTATCTGCACTCTATAGGAAGCAAACTCCACTACAAGACAAAGACTGGCATCCAATCTAAGCTAATTATCAAGGTTAGACTACTGTGCAACCATTAGCCCCTGCTGTTATTTATTAATGCTTAGCACCACAAATCTGGTAAAAACAAAACAACAATAACAAAAAAACCCCAACAAACTACCAATCTTGGAACCAGAATGATACTACACAAACTAGCAGAAATTAAGGATCACCAAAATAAATGCAACCAAAATTATGACTGCAGGGTCAACGGAAAAAATTTTATACTGGTGAAACTTAAAAATGAACATAAATGCTGGGTTATTTCTTCCTCTTTTTATAGCAAAAGGTTTAATCTTTTTGCCAAAAGTGTAGAAGTTTATATACTTTACTCACTTACAAAATATATTGATCTTCAAATATTTCCATTATAATTGGTAAACACATATAGAGTTAAATCAATTGTTTATTTTCCTTCAGCCAAACCAGTCTCATCTGAAACATTTAAGTTCTTCTATAATAAATTTAAGAATCTTGTTGGACAATGGCAACAGCTAATTTCCATGCTTCCTGACACACACACCTTCTATTGCCAAGACTGTAGTAAGGTGAGACATTACTTGCAGAAGTTATGGAGGGGCACTGAACAGGAAACAATAATTTATAGATTACCAGATCTAGAGTTAGTATGTACCAACAAATGCACTACTGATACATCAAAATATTTTTAATCTTCTTTTGAAAATGTAAGATATTAGTTGATATGCAGTGGTATAACTTAAAAAAGAAAAACAGTAAAACCATCAGGCCTATTTAAAACTTCAACAATAGTCCACTGCAACACTGTGCTTTCAGAGCAGAGTTAAGTACTTGAGAGCAGAAAACAATAATTTTCACTCACTTAAAAAAAATTCCCCAGTAATAACATTCAGTTGATTTTCTGAAGTTTCATGGCATATATTCAGGTCTTTGGAGGGTTAAAAATTTGTTTTTTAAGTAGTAAAGTTGCTAATGATTTTAGAAGCTGAAGCACCTTTATTCCTGAATTTTCCCACATCTTATAACAAGGGAGGTGGTACAAGAATATTCAAGATTACCAAGTTCTTAATGCATTACTCAGATATGTCAGTGTCTTCCTGCAACTTTTCGATCTAAAATGTCTGAAATAGATAAAGAGAAACCACTAAAAATCAGTTTCCATTGTAATGTGATATTGATTACAGCTTTTTACTACCAAAACAGTGGAGCTCTCGGAAGTCCCAATGCTGGACAGAAAAAGAAGCCAAAGGAGATCTCAAACCCTCTTTGCAAGGCAGGAGGCAGGGACAGATGCGACCCCGCTCCTAAGCAACTACCCACATGTCGGGCCTGGATACCACTGGGAGAGGATATTTAGGAAAAGACAAATAAGCCCTCGCAGTCACTTCCGGCCGATACGGGCCCTCCTTTCAGAGATATCCAACCTGCAGCTGGCCCTCGTCTATCCCCAGCTCTTTCTGGAGAGTCTCGGCCCCCGAAAGGTTGCCCTCTCCTTTCCCGCTTCCCATTCTGGTAGGATCCAGGGTCTCTAGCAGGAAGAAGAGGGGCTCCAGTGCTTTCCTACAGGCCCCAGGTCTAGTCCTTCCCTCCCAAACAACATCCCGCCTAGCGCGCCCTGGCTCCCCTGGCGCAGCGCTGGGGAACAGGGCCTCAGGCCTGCCTCCCACCGAGGCCAACAAGAAAAGGGAGGGAAAGAGAGAAGATGGGGCCTGCCCTAGACCGAAGTACCTTGTAGAAAGCACCATTGGAGCCCCGCACTTCCACCACCAGCTCCTCCATCTTCTCGACAGCCCTGCTGGCGCCAGGAGCCCGCCCAGGAGAGGTGGGCTGCGGGAGCTCAAGGCCCAGCCGCCGCCGCCGCCGCCGCCGCCGCCGCTGCCGCCGCCGCCGCCGCCGCCGCCGCCACCTCCTGCTCTAAACGTCGGCTCACCGCCAGCTCTGAGACTACCCTTCACCGGAAGTGAAACCGAAACGGAGCAGAACGCCTAGCTGAGGCCAATTCCTCTAGCGGTTCCGCGTGTAAACAGTGAAACTGCATCACGTGAGGGACGCCGCCCCACCCCCAAGGCTTTGGACCCAGCTCAGCCCCGCCCCCTCTCTCCTCCCGGGTCGTGGAGCGCACGCGTGCGCTCTCCGGAGAATCGGGTAGGGTGGGTAGGTCCGGCCCTAGGCGTGTGGGCTTGGGTGCTCTGATCACTAGGAATTCGGGATGGCGGGAAGGTCGCCGACAAGTCCTACGGCTGGTGGAGGTCGGGCCGCCTGCGTTCCCGGGCGAAGGCTAGAGTGCCCATTCTTGTAGAAGGGCAAAAGGAGGCGTGGGAAGGGGCCTGCCAGAGCGATCATAAGCATTCACTTCTCAGAGTTCTGGCTGGCTTGGTTTCGAGGATTTTTGTTGTTTTGTTTTGTAAGTGAGACCAAGCCTAATTGAGGTGGAGGTGGAGTGTGGGTACAGGAATAAAGGTGAGGAATTATATTGAAGACTATGAACTAGTAACAGTGGCAACCTAAGTGACCCAGGCTTTTGTGCTTCTTACAAGCGAAAGGTGAGAGTAATGCCGCCCCTCCCCAAGATATTTTAGGCTGTCCTGTGGATATATCCTATACCCTCTGAGGGGCAGTGGATTGTGACCTCTGGAAATGTTAGTCCTTCCGCAGACCCAGCATTGACTCATATTCTTCCCTTCCATCAATTTAGTTTCATAGTTTTACTTGACATACCAAAAAAAAAAAAAGAATGTGTTAAACATTTGTTAATTTACATACAGTTGATCAGTTTATTTCCCTACTGTTTTACTTATGCCCACCCTGTACCAAACAGTGAGGGGGGCAATTTTTATAGCAGTCATGTGACCCATAGGGTTCCATGCATCTCTTTCCTTGCAGCTCTTTCCCCTTCCCCTCCACAGAAAACCCCAACTTTCTCCTCGCTTCTGCAGTGTAATTGTACCCACTTTAACCTAGGTTTTTCTTGGAAGCTTGTATCCAACCGAGATGTTATTGAGCCACTATCATATGCCAGGCACTGCTAAGTGCTAATGAAACCTTGGTGAACAAGAGGGGAAAAAAAGACTGTCAGCATTGAACTTGAATCTCAGAGGCCTACATGGACATAAATCAAATGATCAGAAAAGTTAATGTGAAATTGCAACTGTAATAAGAGCTATGAAGGATAGGTACACCTATGATAGTGGGACAGGATCCAGCATGGGGGGGGGTGGTCAGAGCTGAAATAGACTCCACCTGGAATATGACCAGTGAGAGTGAACTGGCAGCACTGAGTTCGTGGCAACAAGGTGAACAGTCCCAGGCAGGTGCCCCAGAATGAGAAGCATCCTTCAACCTCCAGTTTCCTTTCTACCCCATTCCTAGCCAGAGCAGCACTGTTACTTTAATAGTAGTGGATCAAGGGCTACAATCCTTGAGACCATAGTAAGCAGGAATGACTTGTTGGACTAGCGTTTCTGGAATAATCACGAGATGTAGAGACCTAGACAAGACTGACCTAGACAAATCTTACAATAGGTTGAATGGGAGCACAGCATGATCTTTAACCCCAATGGTATAAAAGGGGCTAGATCAATGAGAATGATAATACTTTCCAAGTGTAGGATGTGTTCACTTTTTAAAAAAATTTATTTACTTATTTTTCAAGTACAGTTTTCTGTCTATTTCTCCCAGCCCAGCCCAACCTGCCCTGTGCTCCCCACCTCCCTCCCATTTCCACCCCACTTAGTTCTTGTCCTTGTGTCCTTCATACTTGTTCCTCCAAATCCCTCCCCTTTTGGATGTGTTCACTTTACCCAAGGATTTCGATTATCAGGTTTTCACAACCACAAGCCCCATTAAACCGGGTGTTGTTCCCTGACACTTTAATGCACTTTCATGACTTCCTATTTCTCCTCTCCCTTCCTGGCCCCCCCAGAAATACGCTTCTCCTGAGGATTATCAGCTGGATTCCTGTTAGTTCATTATTTTACCCCAGGTGCAGAGAGATGGGTTAACTTTGCTTTTCAATTCTCAGAACATTGTCATCATCGGGCCCTGCAAGGCCCTTCTCTTATTTATATTATTTTATGTTGTTAATATTATCTTTCCTTGACTTTTCTATTCTCCACTCTCATTCTTTTTCTAGACACAAACTGCAACTTGATACATATTCTTGATAATTTAAGACATGCAGTGTTTTATGTATGCCTTTTACATTTACAGAGATGACATTATACTGTAAATCTGTTTCCACTCAACACTATGTCCTTGAGCTAATAATCCACATTGCTGTGTTTATACCTGGTTTTTCACTTCTAACTGCTGCTGAATATTCCATAGTTTTTACTGATACATTATCCTAGGGATGGGTGTCTAGGTTACTAACTCCCTGATGTCACACCATGGTGAAAACCCTTGCAAATGTCTTTACAAACATTTTTGCAAGAATTTCTTTTGTGCTCTTATAGAACTTTAGTCTTAACCCCTGCTTCCTCACCATACTGCTTGATATAGCAGGGACTCAGTAAATGTTGAATACCTCTACTATGATGCTTAATGTATTGAATCACTTATTTATATTTCTGTTTTCCTCACTGGATTGTGTTTTCCTTCCAGGCAAGAAAGATGTCTTATTTACCTTTGTGTAACTGGCACATACAAAGTGGTTGATTTTAGGAACTGTTTGGTGAATCAACGTGCCTATCCTTGGTACCTGCATGTACTGTGACTTGGTCTTCCCCCCTTACCTTTGCATCTCAGTCTCTCTTTGATCTTTAGCTCTTGAAATGCCCCCTTTTAAGACAGCTCCACTGAATTCAGACATGGGCACATTCCTGCTTGTGAGCCTGCTCTTCCCATATTTTTCTTTCAGTTACAGGAAACTCCTTCTTTGAATTACTTGCTCAGGCCTAAAACGGATTCTTTTTTTTAAGATATTATTTATTTATCTTTAGAGGGGAAGGGAAGGAAAGAGGGAGAGAAATATCAATGTATAGTTGCCTTTAGTGTGTCACCTGCTGGGAACTGGCCTGCAACCCAAGCATATGCCCTGACAGGGAATTGAACCGCGATCCTTTTCTTTGCAGGCCCACACTCAATCCATGGAGCTACACCAGCCAGGAAAAATGGATTCATTTTGACCCTGTCTTTCTCTCACACATCTAATCCATCAGCAAACCCTTTTAGAGTCTGCAATTTATTTCTCATTAGTTGAACTGCTAAAGCTATGGTTTGAGACCCCATCGTCTCTTATCTGTGTTACTGTACCAACCTCTCTGGTCTACCTGCAATCACTCTTAATCTATTCTCAACACAGAAGAGAGAGTGACCTAACTCAGGTGTTAATCAAGTCACTTTGCCACTCAAAACCCTCTAATTGTTCCCTGAATGTCTTACGGTAAAACTCTAAGTTTTGATCTATTTTGGCCTCTATGCCCTTCACATACTGGCCTCTATTTTCTCCTCTATCTCATCTTCTACCTCTCTCCTTCATTCCATTCTAACCATACTGGCTTCTTTGCTGTTTCTTGAAAAGACCAAGGCAGGTTCTGTCTGTTTCCTCTTGCTGGAATGTAAGCTTAATGAGAATAGAAATTTTTGTTTCTTTTGGTTAGTAATTGTCCCCAATGCCTACTACAACACAATGTTTGGGACATAGTAGGTGCTTGTGCAATATTTCAATATTTATTGAAGGAATGAATATGTATAGAGGACACAGCCCTGGTCAAGTCCACTTCCATGCTTATATTTATCTATATTGAAATGATGCTTCAGCAATTCTAGCCTTGACATGGCTTTTAGCAATCATCAAATTGCTGCCTGTTGTCTTTGCATTGATTTGTTCTGTGTTATATTCCCTGCTCCTTCTCAAGTTGAGCCCTCCGAATCTTTTTCAGGCCTCAATCCTATCTGAAATATCTTGTCCTTTCTAACTCCAGAAGTCGTACATATACCCTCTAGGACACAGCTAAAGCCTCACTTGTTTTATGACATATTCTATGATAATTTTGCCTCACTGTGACCTCTCCTTTTAACTAGATATTAGAAAAATAGGCCCTGGACAGGTAACTCAGTTAGTTGGAGCATTGTCCCAATATGCCAAGGTTGCCCTGATCAGGGCACATAGAAGAAGCAATCAATGAATGCATATATGGGTGGAACATAAGTTGATGTTTATTTTTGTCTGTTTATCTCTTTCCCTTCCTCTCTTTTAAATCAATTTAAAAAGAAAAAAAAGAAATTGTCTTTATGTTTTAGAACAATTTTAGACTTACAGAAAAATTGAAAAGATAGAGCCCCCAGGTCAGTTCCCTGTCACCTCCCTCCCTATTTCATCTATCGTTAGTATCTTGCATTGTTGTGGTACAGTTGTTACCATTGATAAGCTAATATTGATATATTATCATTAACCAAAGTCCATAGTTTATGTTAAGTTTCCTTCCTTGTGTTGTATAGTGTATGGGTTTGGACGAAAGCTTTGTCATGCATCTACCTTACAGGATCATATAGAATCCTTCCATCACCCTAAAAATCCCCTGTATTCCACCTATTTTGTTGTTAGCTCAACCCCCTAATCCATGGCAACCAATGAGTTTTTTCTGCCTCCATAGATTTGCCTTTTCCATAATATCATATAAGCTGGAATCATACAGTACATAACAGTTTAATATTGGCTTCTTTCACTTAATAATATGCATTTAACGTTTCCCCATGTCTTTTCATTATTTGATAGTGCATTTAATTTTATTGAGGAATGATATTATGTTGTCTGATGTATCATGGTTTGTTTATCCATTCACCTATTGAAGAACATTTTGGTTGCCTCCAGTTTTTGTCAATTATGAATAAAGCTGCTATGAACGTGCCTGTGAACATAAGTGTTCAATTCCATTGGGTAAATGCCAAGGAA